CTGAACGATACGCCAGCAGGAACGTCTGAATGCACTTGTCCCAATTCCGTTGATCTTTATCAACGATTTTCCGCAGATGTTCTTCGAGCATTCGGTTGAATCTCTCTACCATCCCATCTGATTGTGGATGTAACGCTGTTGTCCGCGTCTTGTGGATGCCCAATAATGTACAGACTTCTTGGAAAACCAGTAGAACCGTTGTTTAATGTTCTCTAAAGTTTTTGTAATTCCAAGGTGCCCTCCACTAGGGCCATTGTGATATTCTTTCAATACTTTCGGGATCATGGACTTCGGTACTATGATCAGCAGACGAGACTGTTTGCCATCTTCCCTTTCCCAGGTACGATGAAGGAATCCATTAACGAAGTTTATGCTGTTCCATTGGGCCCAATATGCTTTTGCAGTTGGACTCTCGCTACTTATTTGTTCTTTTGGTGGTCGTACCCCATTTTCTTTGGCTATTATCAGCTTTGCAAGATCAGGGTCCTCCAGCTGATTGATTCTGATGCGGTGAGGAGTGCAATCATCTTCAGGTTCTATATTCAGTAATCACACGTCGATTATACCTTCTTTTCCTTCTGATTTGGAACCAATGTTTACATTCCAGTGGACAAAGGTGACGTGATAATGCATCCGCATTTTTGTGGTGAATCCCCTTTCGGTGTTCTGTTTCGAAGTCGTAATTCTGTAATCTTTCGATCCATCGTGCAATTTGGCCTTCCGGATTCCTTAACTGTAATAACCATTTTAAGGCTGCATGATCAGTCCTCAGCAAAAATCGTTGCCCATACAAATACTTGTGGAAATGTTTTACACATTCCACCACAGCTAGTAGTTCTTTTCGCGTCACACTGTAGTTTTTCTCTGGTTTCCCGAGCACTCTGCTGTAATACCCAATTACTCTTTCTTGCCCGTCGATGAGCTGAGCCAGGACAGCTTCAATTCCATAAGCGCTCGCATCTGTATCCAGGATGATTTTCTTTCCAGGTATTGGATAAGCTAACATCGGCGCCGTACAAAGTAGTTCTTTAAGCTGCTCAAACGCTTTTTCTTGTTCCAACTGCCAGAAAACGGGCGATTCTTTTTTGTTAAATCATGTAAACTTCTAGCTACGTTCGCAAATCCAGGTACAAAACGGCGGTAATACGTGCATAAGCCGAGGAAGCTGCGGAGGTCATGTATGTTAGTGGGTCGAGGCCAATCTTTAACTGCTTTTATTTTTCCCTCCACGGTGTGAATCCCCTCAGTTGACACTTTATGCCCGAGATATGTGACCTGCTTCTTCAATAATGAACACTTTTTGGGATTCAAGCGTAAACCGGCTGATGCTATTCGCTGAAAGACTTCCTCTAGATTTTTCAGATTCTCATCAAAACTTTTTCCCATGATGATAATGTCCTCAAGATACACCAAACATGTCTTCCAGTTGAGTCCTTTTAACACATGTTCCATCAGTCGCTCGAATGTTGCAGGCGCATTACATAACCCAAATGGCATAACAGAGAATTCCCATAACCCGTCGCCCATACTGAAAGCGGTCTTTTCACGATCATATTCACCAATTTCGACTTGCCAATATCCACTTTGTAGATCTAATGTAGAAAACCATTTCGCTCCAGACAAGGTGTCTAATGTATCGTCAATTCTCGGGAGAGGATAACTGTCTTTCTTTGTGACATCATTCAACTTCCTATAATTACGCAGAAACGGGTGTTACCATCTTTCTTTTTAACTAAGACGATAGGTGAGCTCCATGGACTTATTGAAGGTTCGATTACACCGTTTTGGTGCCTGTCTTCAATAATTTTGTTAGCAACCTCACGTTTTGCTAGTGGAACCCCACGCGGAGCTTATCGGATTTGTTTAGCGTCTCCGGTATTTATGCGATGTTTGACAATGCCGGTTCTTCCTGTGTTGTTTCCTTCGTTTGCAAATATGGATGCGTATTTTTCTAATAGTTTTTCTGCTTTTAGTTTTTCATTTCCATGCACCTCGTTCAGCAAGTTGTTTAGGAGTGTAGGACTTATCTGCTGACGCTCAATAGTATCCTTCTGTGGTGACCATTCGCATCGTGATATTGTACTTATATTCTGGTACTGTCCAATTAGTGCTCCTTTCTTCAGACTTATAAGCGTGTTGAATTCATTCACTACTCTGACCGGAATGGTAGCGTCTTCTCTAGTTTTCACAAGTGTTCTTCCTACCAATATAGGTGTATCTATTATTGTTGGTTCCACAATTCACAATTCCTCAGTACCACCTCCTCCATTCACTTTAGCTCATACAACCGCCTCAGATTTTGGTGGAATAATCAGATTATCACCAGCAACCACCTTCTTACTTTCAACGTTGGTCACATATCCGGTGTTTATAGGCATCTCTATGTTCTGGCAAAACAGCATTGTTTAAAGCAAAGTAATCCCGTGATCAATCATGAAATCTACTCCCATTACAATTTCATCCGTGATTTCTGCTACGATGAAGGTGTGATTAACTACCAGGGTACCAATCATCACTTCGCAAAACACTTTTCCCGCAACAGCTGCTTCCTCCCCGGTGGCCGTTCGAAGTTTGCAACCGACTAATGGTTCAACCGTTCTTCCTACCACATCCGGTCGGATAATTGAATTTGCGGCACCGGTATCCAAAGTAAGCGTTGACGGTCTTCCATTTACGATAACGTTGATAGTAAGATTGTTGACATGGCGACATGGTTGACACAAATAGTGATATCGAGATGACGGGGCAAATAGTTGTGGGAACCAGTTCATGCCCCTTTGAACTGTTCCGTTTTAGTTTAACGACTTGTGAGAAGTGGATACTCTGTTCTCGTTATCTGTTGGTTGTTTCCGTTTTGATGGGTTTACTTTTATATTGCAATTTCGGGCAAAGTGACCCGCTTTTCCACAGTTGAAACATCTGCCTGTTGTATTTACTCGCGGTGCAGCAATTGTCTTCAGAGTATTCAATATTTCTTCCATCAGCGCCGGTTGTTCCATTTCAACTCTTTGTACTTTGTGTACTGGTTTACTAAGTAGAGAAGCTGTTTCCTGTGTGAGGGCGTGCGAAACCGTTTCAGCAAATGTTCTCTTTGGCAATGCATATGTGGTGCGTTTGGTGTCCACATCACGAATTCCATTTATGAAACTTTGAATTTTCACCCTCTCAATGTAATCCACAGGTGCATCTGCATTTGCCAAATGAGCTAGTCGTTCTATTTCAGTTGCGAACTCTTGCAATGACTCGTTCATTTTCTGGCCCCTATTTTGCAGTTCGATCTGGTATATTTGTTTCCGGTGCTAACAACCATATCGTCTTTCTATCGCACTCATCAAAGCCACATAGTTGCCGCGTTCACAATCTGGAATAGTCTGAAGGATTTCTGCCGCAGCTCCTTTCAATGATACAAACAAGAACGCCACTTTGTTCGCTACATTCCAGTTATTGGCCATTGCTGCCTTTCAAACTGAAGTTTGAAAATTTGAAATTTAATACTTCCATCGAATGTGGGCGCCTTCAATCTTGGATTATTTGTTGATGGTGCAGGGCCATGCAGTTCCAGTTCTCGCATACGATTACTCAATTGAAGAACTTCTGATTTTAAATTTTCTTCATTTTTTAACGTGCTTAAATCGTCTTCAAATTTTGAAAATTTCTCTTGCACTTGTTTTTGTACTTGTGTAGTATTTTCTGTAATCGGTTGTACCAAACGATTTTCTAACTGCGTATTATTTTCAGTCATTTGTTGTGCAAGGTTGTGATGTATTTTCCGCTATTTGCGTCATTTGCTGTGCCAGACGATTTTCTGTTTGCACTGCATCTTCTGCCATTTGCTTAATAGCCACTAACAGCATGTTCATGTCTACACTTTTTGATGTTCGTTGTTCTTCTACTTTTTCTTCTACCCTTGTAGAAGTTTCGTCCACATTAATTCCATCCGCTTCCATTGCTTCACGTAATCGTGCCTGCAGATCCGCCTTTTGTACACTTATCGGCAAATTACGCTCCTCCAGTTCCTTTTTTAATTGCTGAATTCTCAATTCCCCGAAATTAACCATGTTGAATTTGGATTATTTGACAATCCCACTTCTGACACCAATTGTTGGGAATTTACTCCTTACTACTTTACTTTACTAGATTCGTATCTCTGGATTGACAAATAAAACCAAACACCGTTAATTCACTTTAACAAAATCTCTTTATTTCAGAATTCGTCTACACTATAGCAGTTTACTCTCAGCACTCCTTCTTTACGTTGGCGCTACCACGGCTTATATAGCCACGCACTCCTCGCTGATTCCGACGTGTACCTCTAGAACATTGCGTCTGGCAATTATAAGAACATAATGCTATACGTTCCATATGCAGTTAATGTTTATGCTACAAGTATACAAACAGACAACCAACCGCGGCGCCCAATGTTTATAATAAGGAATGCATATAGCAAGACAAACACACGTAATGCTATACATTCCATATACATACAGCTATTGTTTAAGTAGACAAACAGACAACCGCGGCGCCCAATGTTTATAATAAGTGATGCATATATCAATACAAATACAAGTGGTACCAAACTTAATACTACTTTTGTAACAATAAGAACTTGCTTTTAAGTCAATCATACAAGCCATTTGTCAAAATTGACAGCTATGTCGTTGGCAGGCAGCAATTTGATAATTAATCAAAGAGTCAAAATGTCGTCGTCGAGGAAAAAAATTCCTGAACGTTTTGCACGAAATATATAATTTAATGGAAAGAGAGCGATGTGTTTAAAAACCCATCTCGGTGTAAACTAATTTAGAGTATATTAAAAAATCAAAAAAAATTCATCACAATAAATAAGCGTATTTATTTTTGCAGATATTTATTCTTTTGTTGAGAATTTGTTTGTGAACTATTTGACATCAGCTCTGCGTTTAGTTAGTACATCACCTATCCTCTAAATAGTTTTGTAGCTGTGGCAACCTCATTAATCTATTGTGAATTGCATTTGGTTAATATTTTGCGTACAACCGGGTTAGAGCTTGCCGCTGTATATAAGAAAAATTTTCGCGTTTGGAGGAATTACGTAGACGGATTTTATAATAATATATTGAATAGTTTCAGTTGTTTGTGTGTAATATTGGAAATAAAAGAAAATGGATCTGTCGGGTCCACTTTTGATATCAAACATCTTGTCTGGTGAGGAACTGGAGAAAACACCGCTTGTGGTGCAAGATAAATTAAAGACATGGCTAGACGGATTTGTTGATGAATTCTGTAAAAATAAAGCAGCGGCAAATCGCCTTCGTAAGTAAATATGTTCTCGTGTATAATTTAATAATAATGTTTTCGATCAAATTTCGTAGATAGCAAATAATCTAACCTCAAACAAATGGCGTCTCTTGCATTTTGCAAACTGCAATTATTTCGACGCTGTATACATATATATAATTAGTATATACTATATATGTATAAGTATAAAAATGTAATATGGTGTTTTTTACTATTTTAAAATTAGATGATTATGAACAAAAATCTGAGGAGTTACAAGCTCAAATTCAGGATTATGAGGTGAAATTAGAGAGTCAAGATAAAAATGTTGCAGAACTTCGTACTCAACTGGACAATGTTTCTGCGGATCGTGTTCATCTTCTTGAGAAGTGCAATAATCACGAAAGAGAATTGGCAGCGCTACGTGCTGAAAGAAATTCTGTAGCGGAAGAACGGGATTCTTTGTTGAAGTTAATCGAGCGTCAAAAAAGTGAGCTAGATAGGCTACAGGAAGAAATTCATTCGTATCAACAACAACTTAAAAATGCTATTTCTTCAAAATGCGAAGCTATTGCTAGAGTAGACGAAATAGAAAGCCAGAAAGTGGCGCTTGATTTTAAAGAACGACGAATGGAGCAAGAACGAGCAATGCTTCATAATCAGATTAGAACTCTCACAGACGATTTGAATCGCAATATATCTGAGCTTCAGAGTATTAGACGAGATAATACAGTGCAGGGTATGCATCTTGAGGCCAAGCTTGCTGACAAAACTGAAGAACTGAAAATAGCACAGAATCAGTGTGCACAATACAAAGAAACAAATGATAGGCTAACTCAAAATGTTCAAGATTTGTCAACTAAAATATTAAACCAAAATGAAGAAGCGAACAAAATGATGGATTTCTACAAAAAAGAGCTTGAGGCAAAAACGAAATTGGCTGAATTATACAAAAGTAATTGCGAAGACACAGACATTGAGCGTAATGAACTAAGTACGGCAATAACTGATCTAAAGCGCATGCTGGCTGATGCCAGTGAACAATATGGAGAAATAGAGACAAAACTCAAAGCTACTGTCCTACAACATGATCAAGAATTAGAAGAACGCGACAAAATCATTGAGTCTCAAAAATCTGAGCTTCAACACGCAAACGATTTGTTAAAAGAGCTGCAAAATGAAACTACAGAGAGTGCTATATCGAAAATTGCTCCATCTGCGGCAATTGCTAGCAAATTAATAAGAACTGATATGTCTTTGACGGAATTATATTCACTTTATGTCAAGAGTTCGGAAGAACTTGAACTTCAAAAACGAGAAAATGCCCGACTAAACCTGCAATTAAAAACAATCTTGCAAGAATTAAGCGAAAATGCTCCTGTAATTAAAAAACAAGAACTCGAGTACGAAAAATTAATTGAAACCAATAATATTTTAGCTCACCAACGTGATGAATTACTCAGTAAGAAAGCAGATATGGAGGATCTTATGGACAACGCACATTCCAAAATAAATCACTTAGAAAGAGAAAATAAAAAATTAAAGAATTCACAGAATGATCTTAGTCGTCAAGTGTGTTATTTACTTAAGGAAGTTGAGCAGTTACGAATCGGACTAATTTCAGACAACGGTCCCAATCAAAGTGGAAATCTTTCAACCACCGATGATGTTATATCAAAGAAATTGGTCACATTCAATAGTATTGTCGAATTGCAAGAGAATAATCAAAAATTATTGCTTTTAGTTCGCGATCTAAGCACTAAATTGGAGGATGCCGAAACATTGAAACAACAAATGGATGCTGCAGCATATCAAGAGAAAATTGAAAACTATGCCAAGAAATTCCAGTCAATGCAAGAAACATTGAATCAACAAAATAATACTGTGGCAACATTGGTTTCAAAATGTGAGCGTTATAAGAAAATGTATTTCGATCTTCAAAAAAATGTTCAGAAGTCCGGTTCACAGTTAGAACTCAGTACTGCTGATGACGCTGAAATGGTCGACCTAGATGAAACTGAAAATAAAAATACAACTAATACTTCGAGCCAAAGTAAGAATAGAAAATCTATAGATTCAAATTCAGAACGTCGCATAAGAGACTTGGAGCAGCAGTTACAAGAAGTTAAGGAACAGCATAAAACCCTTAAGGAACAATATGAATATTATACAAAGGAGAAAAAAAATAACGAACGTATTATGAATGAACAATTTGATTCAATGCGCACTGAAGTTAGGGAATTAACTTCAACCAATTGTAAACTTATGTCTTCTCTAGAGTATAGCAAAGAGCAAATAAAACTACAACAGAAGAACATATCCACTTATAAGCAACAAATTACTGCTCTAGAAGATCGTAGCAAAAACTATGAGAATACAATTATAAAACATGAGCAAACTGTACATTTCCTAAAAGACGAAGTCATGAAGTCTCAGCATGGACTCTCCTCTGCTCAGAGCGAAGCATCTCATTTACGAAGTGAAAATCGCATACTTAAAGACACTGTAAATCGGCTGCAAGCTGAAAAGGAAGGTTATCACCGTGAACAGCAAAATCAAAATTTACTTTTGAACAACTTGGAGTTGATCAAATCTAATTTAGAACGTTCAGAAATGGAAGGGCGAGCACGTTTGGAACAAAGGTTGGACGAAACAGTACGCGAATTGTCCGCACAACGTCGTAGATTCCAGGAGGAGGAGGATCGCTTCCGAGAAACCACAAGTGATCTTAAGCGACAAGCTGAATCGGCAAAGAAGCATATGGAAGAAGAAAGATCTCAATCTGAAAAACTACGAAATGAGTTACATTTAGTTCGGGAAGAGCTCGCAGCTAAAACAAATCAAATCGATGAGCTTAGCAAGAAATTACAGGAAAGTCTAACTCCCTCCAAAAATGACAATCCCATTGCTTTGGCGAACAAAAAAGCTCGAGAATTTGAAGTAAAACTTGAGGAAGCTAAAATTGAAATAAATTCTTTGCAAAGTGAATTGGCAAAGACTAAAGAACATGCGGATCAATATTTTAAAATGTCCCAAAGCGCTGAAGCCGAAATTAAAAATCTTCATGAAGTGCATACCGCATACACCACTAAAGCTGAGTCTCAACTGAATGAGTTGAAATTAGCCGAATTGAATCTAAAATCTCGCATTAGCGAACTGGAAGCAGAGGTGCAACTAGCATCTGTAACAGAAGTACCAAACTCCAATCAATCCGATCAACTGAAAAGGTCTAAAGAAGAACTGAAAGATGCTCTACAGAAGTTAAGTGAGTGTAACCGAAATCTTCGCACATTGAGAACAGAAAATACTTCCTTGTCAGAAACACTAAACTCAGTACAAGGAAAATATGCCAATGAAATGATGTTGCACTCAGCCGACATACAAGAGCTTACAAAAGTTAAGGCTGAAATGACTAAGGTACAAGATCAAATAAATGAATTGATCATAGAACGAGATTGTGCCAAAAAAATGTACGAAGAACTTAAAGGCTCACATGATGAGTCGTTACGTTTACTCCAAAATGAAAGAGACGAAATGGATAAGCGAATAGTGGATCTGAATGGACTTAATTCCAGCTTACACGACCAAATTGAAGCATTAACAATGAAACTAAACATACTCAGCCAAACACAAGCACCAAACTTGTCTACGAATTCATTGAATGAATCAAATATGGATACTTCTTGTTCAGATTTAAATCGTTCCAAATTAGAAGATGACTCCAAGAATAATGACCAATTATTACAAATCATAAAATATTTACGAAAAGAAAAGGACCTTATCGATGCAAAATTGGACATATTAAAAGCGGAAAATGCGCGATTGCAGTCGGAGAATATGATTTTACAGAAAAAAATGGATGAATTAAAGGGAAGCTTTAACCAGGAGCGAGCTAAATCTGAGACCTTGGTGGTTTCAGCCACGAAACACGAAGAAATTCTTCGTAAGATAGAAAACCTAAATGCCATAACTGATAGTAATAGAATATTGCGTGAAGAACGTAACTCGCTTGCTGCACGTGTAAAAGAGCTCAACGATCACATTAACACTATCGAAAATGATTTGCTACCTTTACAAAATCAAAATCGAGAGCTCTCCACAAAGATTGAGGAAATCACATCAGAAAATACTTCCCTACGCACAGAAGCTATTAAGTGGCGGCAACGTGCCAACGTTTTGGTTGAAAAGAGCAATAAAAATCCTGAGGAATTTAAGCGTCTACAAACGGAACGGGAAAATTTGGCTAAAATGTTGACTCATGAAAAGGACTTGCTGAAACAAACTACCGATGAGCTAAACGCCATCAAAGCAGACAAGCTTCAACGTGAAACCGATATAGCATCGCTTGAAAAGCAAATCCAAACTCTAAATGAAGAAAAGAAGAAAGTCACTGACGACTACACCAGTGTACGTCAAAATAACATGCGCATGTTGCAAGAGATTATGGAATTGCGCAATAAATTGTTGCAAAAAGAAGAATCCCTACAAAAGCTTACTGAAGAAATGGAATCTAAAGAAGCTCAATTGCAAGATTCTAAGAACAAAGAATTCCAGATTCGCAAAATAGCTAAACGCTATAAGGACTCTTATTTAGAGTTATCCAATAAAACCGCGGCCGCCTCATCAGATGGTTCCGTAACGACGCAAGATAACATGGATCTGGGCGGCAACAGTGGAGCTGATGGTTCTGCAGCCAMTGCAACGGCCGTAAGTAATGAAATAGAACAACAGCGTACTACAATTGAAAATCTTAATGGTGTCATTCGAACAATGCAAGAAGAAAGCGATAAGCTACGCAAGGACTACGATGATTTGAAAACGGCGGTAGAAATTGATGATCGCACCAAAACTCTTTTACGAGAGGCGAAGGCACGTATTGTGAGTTTAACTGAATCCAAGAATGCTATCAGTCAGGAATTAAACACTACTAAGAGCAAATTACAGAATGTTTTACAAAGTTCTGAAAACACAGATTCTACTATTAATAATATAAAAACTCAGTATGAAGAGACTTTAGCACGGCTGGAGAAAGAATTACTTGAACAAAATACCCAGAATAAAGAGGCAATTGCTCGTCTGACCAGAGAAAACGAATCTTTGCTGATGCGCATTAATCAACTAAACCGACAACTAGGTTTACAACAATCAGCTAAGCCGTCCACGAGTTCGGTGGCCATAACCGATAAAGGTTGCATTTCAGAATCTTCTCTACGCACAGCGAACGTTAAGCCTATGTCTGGGTCCACAACCGTACAGCAATCGGCAACAGTAACACCATGGCGCGGGAGTGAAACCCCTTTGGCTAGTATTCGTCCAATATCGGTGCAGAATAGCCGAACAGCTGCCATTCTACCTACTAGCCAACAGCCTGTAGCCGGTGGATCATCGACGTCGACGTCAACTTCATCGTCTAGTACTACGAACGCTTCGACTGGCAGCAGTAACACGGCATTGGTTCCCCCACAACAGCAGGTGCATACTACTGGTAGCAGTTCAATAGAGTCGATGTCATCGTCGCCAACTTCATCACACACCGATTATATGCCATCCACGAGCACATCGGCTTCGGTTGCGGTTGCTGCTATTCCACCAATGGGTTCTACATCTGCAGCAGAAAGTTCACAAGAAGCAGAAAGCATTCAACAGCCTCAACAAAATGAATCACAATTGCTTGTAGGTGGCGGCCAGCAACAGGTTGTTGCCCTAGTTTCGCCACGTGTTGAGGGGTCCTCTCAAAATGTACCATCTCCAAATCTGCAACTTCAGCAAGATCCTAGTAATCAACAACCCAGTACATCGGGAACTACCAGTTCGAGCTCACATATTGCCGTTAGTAGTCACAGCCGCCATGCACCTTCGAGCAGCAGCGTTACCACTACACAAGCTGGTACATCAGGCGGTCATAAGAGATCTCGCGAGCCAGAAGGTGACTCATCGACAAATGTTGAAGATTGTAACGCTGATAAAACCGCCAAACATCCAAAACGTTTGCGTGGATCTGAGCCCGCTATTTTGGGTGTAACAGAGTCAGGAATTGACGTTGAGTATCAGGTTCCGACTTCATCGCAGCGTGATCAAGAGGATGACATTGTTGTTGTCGACTCAGAGGAGGAAGACGACGGTATGATTGATGCTGATGATGGACCAACCGACGGGGATGCCGAGCATGAAGGGTATGAAGATTCGTATGAACAAGACCAAGACATGGATGAAAACGAAATTCCAGAAGTCAATGAAAGTAATATACACGCTGATGCCGAAGTAGATAACAATGAAGTAGATGTGGATGAGGGTACAGAAAACCAAGCACAGTGCACTTCAGGCACTGACAACCAGCCAGATGCTCATTATAACACTGGAGCTAGTACAAGTCAAGCAGCCGCGGCTGCAATAGCACACAGTCATGAGATGGATAGCCATCAGCAGAGCCAAACTATCAGCAGCGGTAGCTATGAAACCAACACCAATGCCGTTCTTCCAACTGGCCCACAATGGAAGCAAACTCGCCCACAGAAAGCGACAATGTTACCACAACAGGGAATTAGTGGAAACATAAATGATAACACTGAACAAGATCTCAGTGGAAGTCGACCTTCTGATAGGTAGGGTTTATTATTTTAAAATCTGATTTAAACAAGATAAATAATACAAAAAATAAACATTTTTTTTAACAGCGGCGTTGAGATCGTAAGCTCACCACAAGGTTCAAAATTTGGAGCTAGTGAAACTGCTGTCCATTCCGATCAACATGAAAATATTGCTGCTACTAACGAGGCGACCGGGGAAAATGTAGTAGAGACTGAAGAACTTGTTGGAGAACACAACGACGAGAATGGGCCAGACGCTTCCAAAAGTGGTGGGTCGGGTGAAGCCGCGCTTGCCACAGAAGAAGATATGGAAGCTGTAGAAGAAGAGTTTGCGGAAGAAGCTGCTACTGGTGAAGTTCCTGAAAATGCAGATAGCGAAAGTGAGTTTAGCAGAGAACAGCTCTAAATATTTAATTTAATCTTAACATTTCTTAGGTCACCATAGCAGCGGTGCTACGCAGTCTGAAATACAAGATATCCAGCAAAATCAGGTCGAAGCAACGTCTGAAGATAATGAAGGCGCAGATGGTGTTTCCTCAGAGGGTGAAAAACAAGCTGTAGAGGAAGTAGAAGTATGTATTTTCAAATAAAATGTGAAAACATAATTTTAATTACCTTTAATAATTTTTCGTGTTTAGGAAGAAGGACGTGAAGCCGAAGCCTCCACTTCACCTTCAATCACCACACGTTCGAAAGCCATCAAAGGGACGACAAATGTAAGAAGACCTTCTCGTGGGTTTCAGCGAGGTGGTAGACCTACACCTATAATTTGGCAAGGTATAAATAAATGATATATCTGAAATAAATATGTCCACCTGAAATGTATTTTCTTACTTACAGATAGTGCTGGACATTCAAGGAATGTTTCGCCAAATCACCGTGGACAAGAGCAGCCTGGTAGTCCACTTCGTGGCTTTCCAAACCAGCGTTCACAAAGAGCCCGACGTATGCGACGCCCAACCGGAGGAAATTACGGAAACATGCGTTACTCATAAATATTAGCCATTAGAAATAGTATTTAAAATATCATATACAGCACCCATTATATTCCTCAATATAAAACGCTCAACATAAAAATGGATTTAATTGATTTTGAACAATGAACACAACCACTTTATTTTTAGTTATAAATATATTAGTTTTACATATTGTACTTTATACCCCTATTACCGTACCAACCTGTCCGACCCTGCTAGAAAAGGTGGAAACAACACTTTTCCCAACGCAAGAACCCCAATCGAGTAGAACGATACCAACCGTAATGGAATCTCCAATTGTTGACGAGAAGGAGGAGGAAATGGCGGAGAGATTTGGCAACGCAAAAGCACCAGGACTTGATGGCATCCCGAACAAGGTACTGAAAATTGCCATCAACCATAGCAAGAGGGTTTTTGCTGAACTCTACTCACGATTTTTAAAAGAAGTTTTCCCGAAAACTTGAAAAAAAAATGGCTGGTTCTTCCTCAAAACCGAGTGCGTAGCGCCCACTCTGCATATCGACACGATGGCCAAAATACTGGAAAGACTGATTTGCACACGTCTAGAACATCACCTAGAAGAGGAGTCTCCTGGTTTATCTGGAAATCAATTTGGATTCAGAAGACAACGGTCCGCTTTAGACGCATTTGGAAAAGTGACGGGCATTGCGGTCAACGCCATAGAGGGCACCAGATGGATGCACGGAGATAAAAAAATACTGCGCTGTGGTTACGCTTGACGTTAAAAACGCTTTCAACTCTGCATACTGACCACATATACTGAGGGCATTAAAGGCAAGAAACACCCCGGAATATCTTCTGAGAACAATTAGCACCTTTTTTTTGTCTGACAGACTACTGCTGTATGATACCGGGACAGGTCCAAAAACCTACATGGCGACAGGTGGAGTACTGCAAGGCCCATTATTATGGAATGTGCTGTATGACGGGGTGTTACGACCGCTGCCAAAAGAAGCACAGATAATTGGATATGCGGACATCGAGGCAGAAACGCTCACTTTGAACTTTGACTCACTTTGATGGATAAAAAGTAGTAACGCAAAATTCACTGAGGTACCTTGGCGTTATGATCGATACGAGGCGCACATTGAAAAGGTCTGTGGTAGGGCGGCTACAGTGACTGCGGTCCTGTCGAGAATCATGGCAAACATTGGTGGCACAAGTCAAAGTTTTAGAACGGTATCGCACGAGGCGTGTGCTATCATGTCTGGCCTTACGCCACCGGATATAATGGCTTTTAGTTGAGTTAGTAGTCTACTTTAAAACAAAAGCCATGAATAAGCGCCAACGGCGCAAACAGGAAAGGAAAACAGCCTCGAGGAGTGGCAAAAGCAATGTAATGCTGAAGACAAAGCAAGATCGACATATGTATAGACTTATTAAGAATGTACCGGCCTGGAGAGACAGACAACACGGTGAGACAGATTTCTACTTAAGAGATGGCGCCCGACAACATGTTAGGCACATGCTTCGATCACAGCTGGTGTGGACTAAAATGAAAGAGTGGAGTGCAATAGCGCTCCTAGAACTTAGAATGAAAGGAAGGCAGCGCAGAAGCATAAGACCGCATTAATAGCCCTGGAGGTAGGTCGTGAAGAGGCAGTTATCTCCCAACTTGGTCTTGCGAAGTAGTGCTTAACGGCGGTCCCTCAGGTCCGTATACAAACTACAGCAGCAAAATTTAAGGGTTTAGTACGTAGGCATACTGTTTCGCAAGTCCAGCATAGTTATTTAATACTGTCTGGGCGTGGTCCGGTAAGAGGTGTAAGCTAGCGGACAATATGAATAGTGCATGCTACCAGTCTCACCCTGGCAGTATCTTCAGAAGATTCCCCCTTCGGATACAAAAAAAAAAACCTATCACTGTGGTGAAGTCACTAGGTGGAATTGAAAGTAAAGCGGTTCAATTTAGACCAAAGCGACTATTTTCGGTATTCCGATATTGAACTATTTTCAGTCGGAAGATTTCACCGATAAATAACTGAAAATATTTAAACGAAAAATCAAAATCGATTTAATTTAGCTATTGTTCACAAAAAGTGAATTATTATTAATGTGGACATGAGTTGGTTTATATTACGATGACTAAAATGTTAGGGTCAAAACTGATGTGCTGCACGTAAGAAAAAGCCGTTTGACAGAAATCCATTTAAACTTCCTAATACAAAGTAAGCCAAAGTTTTATTGACAATTAAATGGCTTTTAACTTTTGTTTATTGCAGATTCATAAGTTATCCTCGTTTATATGAGGAATCATTTTTTTTTTTTACTAAATAAGATGAATGAATGTTATTACAAACTCTTTATTTCCTTGCTACGGGTAGTTATCAATAATGCATTTTAATATTATTATAAAATTTTACTTTGTACTGCAGCAATCTGCGATAACTGTGGTTCTTATAAAACTTGCTACTAAATGTTGTTAACGCCATAGTCTGCGCCGATACCACCAAAAAAAAAAAAAAACAATGTTTGAAAAAGAATAAAACGCTTCAATTTTAATTTCGTAAGTATATTCCTAGGAGTAGTAGATTGTATCGACTCCACGGTCCCCTAATGTTTTCAAACTGTGGTTTATTTCGTCCAGTTTCGGGGTTTTACTCACTCCACGAGCTCAACAAATTCTCCATCTTTCCATTGATTTGTTACTAATGAGAAGTAACAATTGTTTGAAATTATAAATGAAATAGTTCTTTTTATCCATTTTCTGTTAATATTTTTCCAAAATTAATTTGTAAGTAATTAAGCTACAACTGCAAGTTAGTAGTTAAAAATTGTTAATTCCTAGTGTACCCCACTGATACAGAGTTGAAAACCACTTTTTAATAACACTTAAATCGAAATTTTTGTTGACGGGTTGAGTTGAAAATCATAATTCCAACTTTTAGAACTTCAACCAATATGCTTTTGGGTTGAAACCCGTAATAGGGTCCTTAATTTTATATTTCATTCGAATCTGTATGTTACCTTCACGTGTTCATATTAAATTTACTTTGAATATCTTATATTTGCTTTTCAAAAAGCGGTTGATTTAAATCCTAGCACTAATACATATATTTATTTAAAATTAGAACGTGAAGTCTTTTATTCTTAAAGAGCTGCTCATTTGTCGGACCCGCCGATATTGGATCATAGCATACAATGAACAATCAATTAAGTTCCCGTATGAAAAACTATTTCAAGAAATATATCGGACTGTTATATCATATAGCTGTCACACAAACTGAACGATCAAAATCAAGGTGTTGTATGGAAATTCCTGATGAAAGTCAAAAGCAGAGCAAAGCCAAGCATTGCGATAACCTCGATCAGAACACCTTTGAAAAATTAAACGCAATATACAATAACTAATTTACCTCGAATTCGGATAATGGATTAAATATGGATATATCATTAGCCACATGATACCAACGCGTAGTATCCCGAATGCTTGTTGTCCCAGTCGAATTCCAGCTACTTTGCCCCCCTCCCAAGTGTTCGAAAACACAACAGCCGGTTATACGTTACCAGATTTTATCCGTCAAAGTGCTGCAATTTAAACCTATATGTAAGTATTAAGTAGTCACTTGAAATTAATTTCTGCAACCATCTTAAACATGAAAAAAAAAATTATTGGATTAATTGGACGGCTAATTCCCAATTGAAAACTCTGAGATATTAGTAATGCGCTATCAAATCAACTTTAGAAAATAGTATTGCTTTCATATCTACTATTATAATAAATAAGACTCCTTACAAAATAATTCATAGAATATGAGAAATAGAGAGAAGTTAATTTTTTATGAGTTTTATATTTTTTCTTTACTGTAGAAACTAAACGAATGTATTTTTTCCATTAAGTAGAAGATTTACGATCTTGGACGTTCCTTCTTCTCCTTGTACAATGCAAGCAAGGAAACGTTTGCAACTTTAACCACCTTGAAACGTACACCGGGAATATCACCGACGGCGTGTCCTTTACGACCGAAACCGGCAACCAATACTTCGTCGTTTTCTTCAATGTAATTCAAGCTACCGTCACGGGGCACGAAAGCTGTAATTTTTTTGCCGTTCTTGATCAGTTGCACTCTCACGCACTTGCGAATAGCAGAGTTAGGCTGTTTAGCTTCAACGCCACTGCAATTAAATATTCTTCTATTTAAAAATAATACTATATTTGTAGTCGAATGTATTACTAATAATAGTAATAAATTTGCGTAAAGTGATACGCTGCTCACAGTATAATCCTGTGATATGATTGTTAAGTACACATAACACAAAAATATACTGCGTGCCGCATAATCATTAGCCAAAGACGGTTGTTACACACATTACACCGTTACATATTTAACACATTTTACTATTAAATTACTAAATATACATACACTTTTTCGAGTACAATGCCCTTGGCATGTGATGCTCCTCCGAAAGGATTGGCCTTCCATCTGGTTCCCAAATGAGCTTTTTTGTAGTCTTTATCAGCCCAACGCTGATCACGGCGGTGATTCACATGCTTCCTAGCAGTGCGGAGACCTCTTGGCTTGCCTACAAAGTAATAAAAGAAAGAAATCTTGAGTATATTTTTGATCAAGTAGCAAAATAAAAAAAAATAGAAATTGTAATTTTTATTTTTGTACACTAAATTGAGGTTAGATTTCCGAAGGCATTTGTTATTTGATATTTGATTTGATATGACTTTTATATTTGTTTTAACAATTCAAGCAGAGAAACTAAGCTCACTTTTATTTAAAAATCTGTTATCTAATACGATGATTCTAGTGATAATGTTGGATAAAAATAACTTAAGATGTCGGCAAACTATTTGCACTTAGACGCCGATTAATTTGCGAACAATTTCTTGAAGTTTTCCGAACTTCTGTGAGGAACTTTTACTTACTGCTATATATTTTTCGTCGCCGTTTAAAACATTTCATAAACTTTTCGTAAATATAGCAAAGAAATGCTTCAAAACGAATGAAATGAACTATTTCTGCAACTCACCCATAATTTCCAAACTTTCTCAAGCAATGGCGGAAATAAAAGAACGAGCTGTCGTTCAGATCGTATACATCTTTCAAATTCCTACTACAACAACTTATCAATCTGTCAAACAATTTCTCAAGCAGG